TTGTTAAGCTGAACAGAAGAGAGGAAGGGATGCACTGACACTGAGAAGATGCAAGGGAAAAGAGGAGGAGGAAACTTATATAAAGAGAAAAGGATATATGGAAACATGTAAATTCTGGGATTGGCAGCTAGTGGAACACATTGGAAAATAATGGGATATGACTGAAAAAAGATAAGCAGAAACCGAATGTAATGTGCCAAGCTAAAGTGTTTAGATTTTATCCTGCAACATTTTATCCATCAGTAAGATCATATATAACTTTTGGAAATATCACCCTGAGAAAATTATGATGGATGAGTTGAAGGGCATCTAGAATCATATCAAGGAGGCCAATCAGGCTATACTTACTGTATTTCTAGGGTAAATGAAGAAATAGGAATGAGGAAAAGTGGTTTAAAAATAGCAAAAGATTGAGAGAATGCAAATATATATTAAAGGGCTGTGGTATGAGCAATTAGTAAGATAGTGTCATCATTTTTTCAGGAAGAAAATGTGGCATGAGAAACTTTGGAAAGAAGTTGATGATTTCTATTTGCCCACATTTTGTCAATATTTTAGATATCTAAAGGAGACTTAAGTAGAAAGAGATTTAATGAGCAGTAGATGTGTCATCGCCAGGAAATTTTGAGCCAAAGAGAAAACATAGGTGTCATTTAAGGGCTTAATGGATCTCTGTGTATGAATTGAAATTACTCAAGGAAGAGCATTTAGGCACAAATAAAAAGAAAACCCAAGACCAATCAAGCCCTAATATATAGTTGCTTATGTCCATATCTGGGGGTCAGCTTCTATTTGTCCCTAGACATTGGATGTGCAGCCAGAGCGTGCACTCAGGAGTGCCGTGATTGGTTTTCATCATGGGATAGGAGCAGAAGTTGTGAATGTCATGTTCTCCTAACAGAGCTTTTAAGAAGAATATGTGCTCCCCCACTTTTTCTACCTTATTTCATGTGGGATCTTCAAGTATGTCAAAACCAAAAAAAAAAATCCATAGTCTTTGAATAGCCACAGAGTAGAAAGCCACCAAGAAGTCCCCCCTTCCACCCACCTTGACACTGTGACATGAACAAGAAATAAACTTTCGTGCTAAGCCACTGAAATGACCACAATAATTGCTCACACTGTTTTGCTTACCAGATCTGCTCTTCTCCTTTGACTCTGTTCTGATGAACCATCTTGCTCCTTCGAAGCTCAGTTCAATCCCTTCCCTTTCATAGATTCTTTCAACTATGGTGACCTTCAGTGATGATTTTGCCTTCTGATATTTTAGCACAATTTTTGCTCACTCGTATGGCAAATAATCATGCTTTTTGATATGTACTATAATTGTAATTGACTTCATGTATTTTTGGTTTCTCTAGCATAGACAGTCAGGATAGTATTCAGTATGCTTTTCATATAGTTTTTCAAAGGATGGAAAAAGTTTTCTCTCCACCAAAAGAGAGAGAGAAAGAATATCTAAACTGAACATTAAAATAAGATGGAGTGGGGGGTTGAATTTTAATGTTGATTGAACAATTATATAAAATTTATGTGCTTGGCAAAGGAATTAAGTTTGTCTGTGTTTGTGTTCTGGATAAAAAGGATTATATTTTAGGAGCACAATGAATTATGGAACCAATTAGAATACTGTGGCCCTTAGTCAAGTGTCCTGAGCATTTACCTTTATTCTGGGTTAATCATGGAACCCATCATATGCATTAAATGCTATGGCACTCAGTTTTGTATTTTGGAAACATAACTGAAACTACTAAATAATTTACATTGCTATGTATTAAGTATATTTTTCTTAGACTTACTGTTGTCATATTTTAGGCAAGTTTCATTCTCTCATATGATAATGATAAAATTTGATTTCATATGCAGCATTAACTTTATCTTTCAAAGTCTATCAAAAATATGTTTTGTGGCATAATGCAAAGTGTTAGATTTCGCCAGTGTTATGCTAAAAGTTGGAATTAAGGGTGGAAGACCCAGTATTCTGTTCCCTTTGGACATAAGGGTGGATATTTTGAGCCAGGTTTTACCACATCCTATATAAGCTGTCAGCTCTGAGAGGCTCTTGGCTTGTAGCCCACTGAGTATTTTATTCTCATGTTCACTCCTAAAATAAATGACTCTACATCTTTATTTCCCATCTATCAACTACATGGTAGACTATAAGGCTAATTTATTATTCTACCAATTTGGAAAAAGGAAAGGTGATAAATGGTTTAATTAGATTCCTTTTTTTGGAAGAAAGCATTTCTGCAAACGTGAGCCTGTGAAAATCATGCCTAAGGGACAGAATTAGGAAAGGAATTTTTTTTCTAGAGAAAGCACCAAAGTGTTATGACCATAGCCCAAGAATGATGAGACAGAAAGAATATGGGTTGTTTATGACCACACTGCCGCAAAGGCTCTCACCCCTGCCAGCCATTTTGGTGAACAAGAATAACACTCAGAAGATGCTTTTATAATATTTCACTGCTACTACTACAATGTGAAATCTTTATTGGACTTTGTTATTGGTGATTTCGAAGGCTGCACTTCAAAAGAAAAATGGTATAACTTTCAAATGGGTCTTCCCTCACATTTATTTTCCCTTGCAGGCAGCTGGTGTACTTGTTGTGGGGGTGCAGTATCAGCGCCCCCATGCACTGCCACCCCAGCGTGGTGGGGGTGGGAGGAAGCAGGAAGTGAGGTGGAGACAATCACTGCATTTCCAGTTTTCCCATGCACTGCATCTAAAATCCAGTGCTAAGTGGACCAGAAATAAATAATGACTAGGGCTGAATAATGCAAAACTTAAAAAAATAAACTACTGATAAATGCTTTTTATTTATAGTTCCTTATAGCATCATTAAAACTGCAAGTGATTTGACCATACAAATGCCTAAAAGTGACATCTAGATGTTGGTGTTAATATCTTACTGTTCATGGGACCCAAGTCATAGTTGCCTCTTTGGTTTATTGGAAATGAGTTATCTTCTAAAGGTAAATAAAAGAATAGGTAAATAAAAAAAGAGTAGACTTTCCATGACCTAAGATACCTTTTTAAGATGAGATCTATTGTGACTTCAGAATAAAAGTCATAGGTATATAGTAATAGAAATTATAATATTAATGTTTTACTAAATAAGTGAAGAAGCTTTGGAAATAATAAATTGTTAAAATAAATTCTGAAGAAATTTCCCATCTGGCAATTGAGTATCACCTAAAACCACATTCTAAGTGATGGATGTGTAATTTCAGTCCATTTCATTCTATGCTCTGGGAAAAATTAATAACCCTTAATCATCCAGTGGAACAATGTATTCTTATGCCAGTGTTTTTGAACATTTGAAAAACTGTGGACCAGTGAATGGATGATGATGTACATGCAGATGATAAATTTTAAAATAAAGGAGAAATCCAATAGGGTCATTATAGACGTTTCAATGTGAAAATTAAATACATTTCTAAAGTAAAATTAATGTCTTTTTAAAAGCAGGAGGATGACATTGTTGGGAACCATCACCAAGGTATTTGTTCCAGTTCAGTAACCACTTCTTTGGAACAAAATCAAGTGCTACATGTTACGTAAAGATCAAAGAAGTAATTTTTCTTTATTCCTATTAAATCAGAAAAAAAGTGAAGTCAAGATGATAGGGTAGGAATGGGAAAAAACCTTTGGGTGAAATTGCATTGAGCATTAAGGTTAAGAGATTGCAAGTTTGTTCTGTCACTGAGAGCTGTGTGTCCTTATGCTAATTTCTTGACCGCTGGGTTCTTCAATTGGAATGAAAATAATTATAATGCCTAAATTCTAGGGCTTTATTAAAATAAAGCCATTAACACGGGTAAAGATATTAATTAGAAAAGTGCCTGGCATAGAGCAAGTGTTCAGGAAATATTAGTCCTTGCTCTTTGTTGAATCAGTTACATCAGGGTCAAAGCTGAGATTGTGCGTGATGGGGTGTCCATACCAGTGGTTAGTAACCCCTATGTGTGGTTAAGACAACGTCTGCTCATAACAGTTGCTGCATATTTTGAAGACCACAATTGGCAAGTTCCTATATATTGACATAGATCACAGATGAAAATATTATGGAGAGATTCTTCACTGAGCTCTTAGTACTCCAGTGATACTAGATACAGGAGCACCTCAATCTAGGTGTTTGTCAGTTTCCAAATGGAGAAGGAAGCAAATTGATTCCTGAACCATTAATTTAGTAGATTTCGTTTTCCAAAGTAGTTCTTGTTCACTGATGAATTTGAATATAGTTTAAAATTTATGTCCAAAGAATTATTTTTTGTGCAATTGTGTGCGTGTAATAATTGCATGTGTAATGGGAGGATGTTGCTAGGGAATTAACATTAGTCAACATACTAGCACATAATCACTTTCAACACCTCACTTATGTGATATGTGGGTTAACATATTTAATTCTAGTATTAATAGTACTCTAGGCACTGTTACTGTCCCCACCTCGTGAATGGAAGAGCAGAGCCATGGGTAGGAAAAGTGATTTCTTCACGACTAGTAGCAGAGCTATTATTAAAACACGAGCAACGGGCCTCCCGGGTGGTGCAGGTGATGGAGGCTCCATACTGTGAAGCTGTCGCAGCTTCTGCAGCTCTGGTTGGATCTGGGCGGGTTGTAGAGATATTCACAGCAGACCTCTCCTGTCCCGCCCGCTGCTCCCCTCAGCAGTGTATTTCAGTCAGTCTGCCTGTTCTGCTCCCCACTCTGTTTCTGGTGCATCCTCTCACCCTCCCGCGCATCTGGCCTGTACCCCAGTTCTTGCATAAATAAATCTTAAAAAAAAAAACTTGACTCTGTGAAGACAAGGACCTTAAATAAATACTATAATAAACACTCTCACCCCCGCTTTTCCTTCGACTGTAGCTCCAGCCAGTCTGTCCTCACGGCCCGTGGGGCGCGTCCACGTGGGCGGAGATCACGGCAGCACCTGGGGCGCAGGCGTTTAAGCAGAGCCCGGTGCGGGCCGCTGCGCCTGTGGTCGGAGTCGCAACGCCTCTGGAGCTCCTTGGAGCCACCACCCACGCTCCGGTGACCGGCCCTTCCTCTGTGCTCTCGCTCGCCGGTGTGGGTGCCCAGGCTGCAGGTCACCCGAGGAGCCCAAGAGACTGAACCCCCATCAGGAGGGAGCCCTGGCGAGAGTGAAGCCCGGCCTGCACCCGGGTGGCCGCGATCCGTGTTCCGAGCTGCACACAGGGGCGTCTGGTGGCCGCCTGGGGACGGGGCGCCCGGGAACCCCAGCGGGTCGCTGCGTTGGTGGGAGACTGCTCTGCACCCCAGCAGAGAAGAGCAGCGCGTGCCTGCCGGGCGGGCTGCCGCATCCAGGGCACTCTGGCCCAGCTCCGTGCCCACGGGATGCTGAGACTCCAGGGAGAACAGAGGAGGAAGAGCTGAGGCTCGAGAAGGAATTTGGGGCCACGACTCTGCCGCTTGCAGCTCAGACCAGGTAGGCGGCAGGAGAGGGAGTTGACCCAAGGGCAGGAGGCACCAGCTGCCTTGGATTAAGGTCGGGCCTTTGCCAATTAAGCCTGAGTTGCGTTGGGGTTGCCAAAACGTTTCCAGTCACCCTAAAGTCACAGAGGTTTCCTGCTTACTTTCCTTTTACAAATCTTAGGGACTTGCATTTTATAATAAAGTCTAAGAACCACTTGAGTTAATTTTATGTAAATTCTGTGTAAATATTATTTATTTTTGCATGTGGACGTCCATTATTCCAGCACCATTTGTGAAACAAGCCTGTACTTTCGCCATTTATTTTATTCTAGACCTTGGACAAATACCTAATCAACCATATTTGGGTGGGTCTCTTTCTGGACTTTCTACATTATTATATTTGATTTATATGGTTATTGTTTCATTGATGCTGTGATTTATGAGGGAAGGAAATGTGTTAATATTTTAATTCTACACTCAACAATGAGATTCAACCTATAGTGGGCCTCACACACTAGGTTGGAGAAGGTTCTTTCCTTCTTAAAGTCCAGTCCTGTTGTTCTGCCCTCCCAGGCCGGGGAGGTTCTCCATTGGTTCTAACAGTTGAAAAAGAGAATTTTGGAGCCCTGGGCATCATCTTCACAGGTTTTAATAGTAAGCATGGGAAACAAGCTGGCGGGGAGACAGTAATTTGAGCTCCATTGCTCCAGGATGACCCCGCCTTTACCCCCTCCCTCCTTGGCTCAGGTGTGCATGCTTGCACATGCGCACACACCTATGCTCAGGTGTCCACAATCAGGCACACTGCCCCAAGCCTACACTGCCCCCAGCCCACTCGCCTCCTGCATTAACTTGATCATGCCACAGGTGATAGCCACAGAAGCTAGTGGCGTAAAAGACCTGATTAATTCATTTACCCTACAAGAAGGAAATAAAAAAATTCTTGAAAATGTTTTATTCCTTAGGAGTGTGGAAAAACTTGCCTAGGAAACCATCTTGTGAGGTGTGTCTTAGAAGGAAGATTGTTAATTAAGGAGTGGATGTCTTTACTTCAGAAGATTACCAAATTTATATTGCCTGTGGGATAGGTTTTTAATGTTTAGATTTCGGCCCTTGTCTTCTGAAGTTTTACTTTCTGTGCCAAAGTAGCATAAGCTGAGCCTATCAAACGGGAGTGTGTGATCTCCCAGGTCTGCAGGCTGGAGGCCTCCTGGAGGATGGATTCCTTGGAGGGATGGGCAGGGAGTGTGGTATGTTCCCAGTTCTGTCCTCACAGCCAGGGTTTGCTGGCAACCAGGAGTTGCTTGGTTTCTGGACATATCATCCTGATCTTTGCTTCATGGCCACCCAGTGTTCTCTGGTCTGTTGTAGTAAAGGCAGGAATGACCACAGTACTGGTTTTCTGATCCCATGCAGACCGGGTAAAGGAGGAGTCAGAGTCCTCAGTGGTTTTGCAGGTCTTTTATTGGGGTTCAGCGGGTATATGGCAGGCAGGGGCGCTGGCTGGGAGGCTGGCAGGCCTCCCAGCCCCCAGCAAGTCTTCACTCTATCTGGGCTCTCTGGCGTTCTCTGCTTCTGCTTCGGCTTCTCCTTCAGGTTCTGCTGCTGCTGCTGCTGCTGCTACTGGCGTCCCCCCGTGACGCCACCCTTAAAAGCACAGTCTTAGCTCAGCTGAATCCCATCTCCCTATGCCCACACCCTATTCCAGGTGCCCGCCATCAGGCATGCATTCAGGCAAGGATCCATCATCTATCCTGATGGCGGAAGGGCAGAAAAACCTGATATTTTCTTTACCCTACAGTTGTATTTCCTCGTTTTCTAAGGACACCAGTTACGTTGGATGGGAGCCATCCCACTCTAGTGTGAGCTTGTCTTAATTAATTACGTCTGAGATTAGCCTAGTTCCAAACAAGGTCACTTTCTGAGGTGCCAGGAATTAGGACTTTAACATAGGAATTCAAACAAAATAATCCTTTTCATTCTCAGCTTTTTTAGGGAAAAGTTACTGTTTTTAAACTACTGCTTTACCTGCACAAGAACTGTTGATACATTTTGTAATTGAGGTTCTTGTGTACTTAAAGAAAAAAAAATCCAAAATGAAAATTCACCGCATTTCAAATGGAATGCTTTGTTAAGCATGTTGTGAGTTTGGCCTTGTTTTCTGCCTTCATTGTTTTAATTTGAAAACTAAATTCAAAGTTGTTCTTTTAGCCTCATTAAAATGTAATCCAAATACTTCAATAATTTGCCACAAAATTACTGCTGTTGTCAATTTTACCTTGGCCCATTTCTAATTTCTCCCAAATACACACTAATGTCATCATTTTATACAAGTTGTTTGGAAATTTTTCCTAAAAAATTTTGCTTTTTCAAAATCTTTATTATTCTATCAGTGATGTTTGTTAAGGGATTTTTCTTCCTGGAACATATACTTTATTAATTTACTGATTGTATGTTGTTGGTGGTAATATGTTTCATGTTTGATTATGTGAAAAAGCCCTTCCTGAAAAATAGAGTTGTCTGCCAGGATTTAGACCTCGGGATTTAAGCCTGCAGTAGAGTTTATTTTTTATTTTTCTTTTTAAAGATTATTTATTTATACAAGCACTGGGTACAGTCGGAAGCGCGGGAGGGTGAGAGAATTCACCAGAGCCAGAGCGGAGAGCAGAACAGGCAGACGGACGAAGTACACTGCTGAGGGGAGCAGCAGGCGCTGCAGGAGAGGTCTGGGTACCATGTGGGACCCTCGCCTGGCAGCCGGGGATCAAATCGGCGCTGCAGAGGCTGCAGGCAGCTTCACAACCCAGGGCTCAACCACTGTGCCGCTGGGGAGGCCCTGCAGTAGAGATTAATCTTGCGAACCAGTTGCCCTAAACTAGCGGGGGGGGGTGGCCTGCATTTTCCAGGTGCAACCAATATAGTATCGGGGTCTTTGTAGCAGAAAGAGGGAGCCATGAAAGGAGACTCAGAGAAAGAGCTGTAAAGATGGAAGCAGTGTTACAGAGAGACTACGTTGCTGATTTTGAGGATGAAGGAAAAGGGCCATGAGCCTGCGATCCCAGGTGGCCGCTAGAACTTGGAAAGGCCCCTACAATGGCTTTTCTCCTAGAACCTGCAGGAAGAAATCCACTCCTGCAGACTCTTGGATTTCAGCTCAGTGAGACCCAGGTTGTACTCGAATTGTAAAACTGTATGATGATTAACTTTGGTTGTTGCAAGGGCCGCACTGGGCACAGGTGCAGGTTTTCTGATCCCATGCAGACCGGGTAAAGGAGGAGTCAGAGTCCTCAGTGGTTTTGCAGGTCTTTTATTGGGGTTCACCAGGCATATGGCAGGCAGGGGTGCTGGCTGGGGGGCTGGGAGGCTGGCAGGCCTCCCAGCCCCCAGCAAGTCTTTACTCTATCTGGGCTCTCTGGCGTTCTCTGCTTCTGCGTCGGCTTCTCCTTCAGGTTCTGCTGCTGCTGGCTGGGGCTGCTGGCATCACCCCGTGACGCCGCCCTTAAAAAGCACAGTCTTAGCTCAGCTGAATCCCATCTACCTATGCCCACACCCTATTCCAGGTGCCCGCCATCAGGCATGCATTCAGGACAAGGATCCATCATCTATCCTGATGGCGGAAGGGCAGAAAAGCCTGATATTTTCTTTACCCTACAGTTGTCTTCACGAAGTTTGTGGTAACCTGTCACAGTAGCAGTAGAAAAACCATCCAGATAACTTTTTTCTCGTTTGAAATTTTTACTTAACAAATACTTTGTTCTTTTGTGCATCTGTCTTCTTTTTTGAATTATTTTATTTTATATATTTTTTACATCATTTTTCATTTTTGCACAATGTTTGCATTTTCATCTTGGTTATATTGTTATATTCCCCATACAATTCCCACCCCCTTATTTTGACCCTATTCCCTCCCCCCCCCACCGTAGTGTATCTCTGATTTATAGTCGCTTGTTGATTTTGATTTTTACTCTATTACAATTAGTCTATTTCCTGGTCCCTTTTTTAGGTTTTCTAAATTCTTACTATAAGTGAGACCATCCGGTATTTTTCTTTTTCATACGAGAGCTGGGGTGCAGGCCAGAGAAGCGGGAGGTGAGAGGATTCACCAGAGACAGAGTGGGGAGCAGAACAGGCAGATCCACTAAAATACTCTCTCTTCTTTGAATATAGGCTGTCAGCCTACTGACCTTTCAGGTTAAAATCTCTGTGCTATAGTTCAGTTGAATATTTATGCTTGTCTTTATTCTTCTGCTACTATTTTCTCATCTTGCCTGTTATGCTTTTTTTTTTTTTTTGGCTCATTTATTTTCTTAGTTATACAAGATGTTTAAGCACTAACTTTCAAAATATTCCTCTACCCTACTTTATTTTTTAGACCCCCATTTATACAGTTACTAGAACTATTTACTCTATCCTCTACATCATGATAGATATCATTTATTTATTTTTTGTATCTCTATAATGTGTTCTTCATTTTTTCAGGCCCAAATAAAAGTTTCCTAATTCTCTTGAGAGCTTTATTTCATAGACTACAATTTACTGAAAAAGTAGGGCAGAGCAGTTTGACACTTCTTTATTTCAGTGAACCTGTGGTGTCTCACTGGATCCCAGGAGGGAGGACAACCTAGTAGGTGCTTGACCCCCCACTGCAGTGCTGCTTCCTCAGCCTACCTGTTTTGTTTGTTCCATTTGTCTGTTTACAGATCTCTGTTGCTCCTCTTGGCACGATGTCTGTGTGTGAATCAAGTTCTATTTGTTTTGTAGTCATTGTTCACAATGCTTTGTATAAGACAAGCTTCTACATTAACATCATTGTTGTCTTTTAGTAGGTAAACTGTGAATGAATTTTAGAGAATAAAAATACTTTTAAAGATACATCTTATTTTTCAGGGAACTTTTGTTGCTGATTTTCATAAATCTCAAATTTACTATCCACTTTTTATTCTAGGCTGTATAGGTGATTGAAACAGGAATAGAACCACATCCTGCCCTTCAGAATTTTCCGAGATATGTAAGTGAAATTTACTTTATAAACTTGTATTTTTTAGCAAGTGTGGTGTTATATGGGAGGGGGATAATTGAGTATTAAGGAGCTTGAGTTTTAAAAATTCTAAATGTTTCATATAGTCAACATTTCTTGATTGAAATAATTGTATGAGTTTAGCAATTATGTACATATATCATCTTAAAAAAGGATAGTAAAATGAGAAATATATGTATAATGTCAAGGGAATATTAATATAAAATGTTTTAACTCACTTTTAGCATAATGAGCAGTCCTTTTAATTATGGTTACCGTGGGAACTTTAACTTGCTGTTACTTTGCCTTTTTGTTGATTGCTTGGATATAAGAAAAAAAAACACAGTGGTCTTGTATCTTTTCTGTTGGGGTATTAGGGATTTGAGTCTTTTTCTGCCCTTAAGAAAGAACATAAAAACAATTATTGGGGCTCTGTGTATGTTGTGGAAAAACAGGCAGTTTTTTGCTCTGAGGTGAAGCTAATGACCATAAATCTGAGCACATGGCAAGGGAAAGGGAGCGAGAGGGGTCAAAACTGGAGGGACACGCACAGGGACCAGGGTGATGTGTCACGGGTGCTGTGATGGTGGGAGAATTATGGGTACTGCATTTGAGGGGAGAAATCAGTATTCTCCAAGAATTAACAAAGGCATAAGAAAGGTAAATAAATTTAATAAATAAAAAAGAATGGTGTTGAAAGAAAAATAGCGAGACTTACAGAGCCGAATCTTCTGACAACCAGCGAGACTCCACGTGCGTGAGAACCATCTCATCCTGTTGCCGTAAAAAAAGGTAAGTTACCTGCGTTGCTGTCACTCGTTCTCATGCACACATCACCAGGCTCACTGGGTGCTCATTTTTAGTCCACATGCTGGTTGGAATCCTAGTTACAGAGGGATTTTATGAGAAAGCATGGGTTTCACTTAGCAATCAACTCATTGGTTTTATGCTACTGAAGCAGAAAATTTAATAATGAGATAAGACAAGACTATGAGGACTACTTTACAAATATAAATAACCTATTTCTTTATATTGAAAAGTATTGTATTCGTTCTAGTAGTGTTCACGTGTGTGCTCGTTGGTTTTCATTATTCGGTGAGCTGATTAAGTAATTTCTTGAATGTCATAAGCCCTCAAATTTTAGTGGTGGTGTTTTACTATTAGATTTCCCTATAAAATGGTCTGGCATTTTAGCGTGTACATTTATTTTCTTTTCCCAGGAATAAATAGAAATCTTGCATAGCGTTGTCAAATAAAAATTGTACAGGATAGAGTTAAGTAGGCAAGGGAAGTTTTATTCACCTCTCCCAAAATGGACAGAGAGTGGATTTAGCTGAAACAAAATTGGAGGACGGAAATTGTAGCAAGAGCTGGTGGAAAGCTCTAGAGGATATTCAGGTGAATCCGTCAATATGATTTGACCATCTGTGTTTGCTAATTGTTACTTTTTGAAGTTAGACTCCTACTCACCCAGAGACTTGGAATGTAAGGGTGCTCTCTCCTTAGATCACATTTCAAAGGGGTTGCTCCCAGGTTCTTGAGAAGGACATACTGTGGATTATGAAAACTAGCAGAGTGGGAGAAGATACATATCTCAAAGGAGCAGGAAAAGCATTACAATTTTTCGAAATTGGATGCATTAAGAAAATGGAGGACAGAGTCTATAGTCAGGAAGAAGCTGTCTCAAGTTTGCTAAAGTTGAGGGTAGCAATAAGGCTGTTGCACACTTACAAAATGGTTGGGTTGGGGAAAGAGGGAAGCAAAGTTTCTAAACTATCCTGATAAATGATTAGTCCTTATGCTAATTGGAATTAAAATTGCTTGGAATTCAGAATACACTTGTGAACAATCTTGCATTACTTAAAAAGATGAATATCATTTATTCTATGTAAAAAATAGAGTAATAATCTCTAAGATACGTTTGCCCAGTGAAAAGGTCTTCTGAGACGTCAAACACATTATCTGTGCTTGATTTTAAAAGTATAAAGCTATATTACTCTATTACTTTTATTTAAGTAATTATTATTTGCTTATTTATAAGTAGTGCTTATACTACTCTATTACTTTTACTATTACTTTTATTATTAAGAAATGTCAAAACACCACCTCGCCTTCACTTTGTAGTTTTGTCCTGTGGAATTAACCCACTCGGTGATCCACTCCTGTAGGGGAAAGTAGGTTTTGATAGAATCGGATCTTTTAACAAATACTCTGACAATTTCAATTTCTCAAAACACCTGCTTGGGTCAGTGGTGCAAATTCTTCTATTGATTTGACACTTTTGAATGGGCACTGATGAGAGTTAAGGCTTTTGCATTCTCATTATATTTGAGAGTTGAAGTTAGTCCCCATGTCAACTTTGATTTGAAGCTGGACTCCTAGGGTTTTTCAAGAGGCTCCAGTCTCCCAAGGCTTAAATATGAGGTAGTAGCTTTTCCTGAGTAATTGTTAATACATTGGGTCAAGAACAGTGGTCATGAAACAAATCCTCATAGTCGCCTCAAATGTTACAGAGGCTTGTAACCAGCAGGAAAGATAGGAATATACTATCCTAGCATACAAAGGCTGCTTCTGTAAGCTTCTGCAACTCTTAAAAATTACAGCCAGTCCATCCATAAAACTCTCTGCAAAATCTGTTTTCAGGAAACATTTTTATTATCAATCCAAACATCACAGAGCAGAAACAGAAAGACTACAACTTAATTAGAATCCCAAGAGTATTATCATCCTGCCCCTGCCACAACATATGAATTATGCTCAGAGTGAGCCAAGCAAGCCTCCATCTCAAAGATGCACGACCCCCACCCTGGGAAGAGGGCACCCAGGGAGGAGCATGACAAGCTTTTAGCACCAGGCACCCCAGAGGCTCTGAGTTCCTCCAAGAATTCTTATTCTAAAGATACAGCTTCTCCCCCAGCTCAGCAGGCAGCTAGTCCTGTGCTATTAATCACTTAATTTGTTTCTCCTCTGCTTAAATTTCCTCAGGGTATAACACAGCAGTAAAGGTTAATAGTAAAAAATGTAGGCTTTTGAGTGGCCATCCAAAAATCCTAGGATCAGATAGCACCTTTTTTACTGATACTACCTTGGACAAGTTAATCAAGCTCTCTAAACTTGGGTTTCTTCATTGGTAAAATGAGACTAATGCCCATGAGATTACTGGGAAAATTAAGGTAATGCATGGGAGACAGTAAAGTTTAACTGTTATCTTCATTATCAGTACTGTGATAAGGAAGTTAGATTAGGTTGTCTTCTAAATCTTCAATCCACTTCTAAGAGTTTATGAAATAACAGGATTTGGAAGAAAGCACCCATTTAACCTCTCACTTTCATTACCATAGAAATTCATTTGCTCATTCTGTACCATAACGATAAGTCAGAGCATCCTTGCTGACTCAGGCATCTCTGTTCAAGCGTCAAATTCATTTTATATTTAAAATAATGATTAATCATTTTCCATTTCCTTTTCATTTTTTTAAAGATTTATTTATGCATACAAGAACTGGGGTACAGACTGGAGGGAGGGGGGTGAGAGGATTCACCAGAGACAGAGTAGGGAACAGAACAGGCAGATCGACTGAAATACACTGCTGAGGGGAGCAGCGGGTGAGACAGGAGAGGTCTGCTGCGCCATGTGGGTCAGCTCCCTGGCCGGGGATCGAACTCATGCTGTGAGGCTGCAGATAGCTTCATAAGTTGTGTCTTAACCCCTTGCACCACCAGCGAGGCCCTCCTTATTTATTAAATAATATAATCTTAAGGTGTGACCTTAACTCCCTCATTTAATTAGCTTTCCTGACAGACTAGATAGAATTTACAAAAAATGTGAATAGCAAGTCAAAACACTAATTTTTGAAAGACATCCAGAAAAATCAGCATAAAACACTCCTTACCACACTTTCATAAAGGTTATCATTTAGGACCTCCCTGGTAACCTATTGGTTAAGTCTCAGTGCTATCAGGGCTATGGCATGAGTTCTATCCCCAGCCAGGGAGCTGATCCACACATGGGACAGCAGACCTCTCCTGCCTTGTCCTCTGCTCCCCTCAGCAGTGTATTTCAGTAGATCCACCTGTTCTGCTCCCTGCTCTCTGGCCTGCACCCCAGTTCTATTAAAAAAAGATGATCAATTAAAGAGACTGCATATCAGTGGGATTGATAAACACAAGACATGTTTCCCAGGGAATTACAGGTAACGGTGATTTATACTTAGGTGTAAGTCCCCTTCTCTCCCAAAGACAAACTAAAATGATAAATGGAACATAAAAATATCAAAATGTAGCTTCCCTTTTGATTGCCCTAATGTTGCTAGGCCTTCTATTTATTGCGATGAAATAGTGATCGCATTCTTGACAGCTCCCAGTTTTGTCTTTGAAATATAAGCTACCACATCAGCTTTGGTTCTTCTTGCCTGTATCTCTCATCTGTCCTTCCGGCAATGAGTGTTTCAACCTCCATTCCATTTATTCATATTTATCACTTGGCTTTCAGCTTTATTGAGGTCTACTTACTATATAAAAAGTTGCACATATTTAATGTATACAATCTGATGAGTTTGAATATAGGTGTACATGTGTAATGCTCTCACCACCAAGGTAAAAAACCATATCCATTAGCTCCAAATCTATGAACTCCAAAAAAAAAAAAAAAAAAATACCACAACCTGTCACCGACAAATACTAGTCAGATAAAATCTTGATTAAGGGTTCAGTAACCCATACCAAATAAACAGAGCAAATACCATACATAGTTAAAAAAGGGTTTGTGTTTTTGTTTTTGTTTTTTTCTTTTTGGAACTCTGTTGAGCATGAGGCATGCCTTTAAAGCATATTCTATGTTCATCTAATGGGTAAAGGTTAATGCAGTTATTGCTTGATCTTTATGGACTTAGACCACTGTGAAGATACTGTTGTAATGAGCTACTTTAAAGTCTTCTAATGACAAGCTAGATAGACATTGTGCTGAATTTTTAATAGATTGGAAATGATCA